ATATATTGTATATGTGTGTATATATATATATGTATGTATACTTAGTGATTTATTAAAAATCAAACATGGGAACCAACTTGTTACTTTTAACAAGGTTACAGTTACTTTTCTTCAGTAACTGTACTTCGTTACTTTTTTTTCCACCTGTAACTGTAACTTTAACTTAACTTACACCTTTTAAGTAACTTATAACTAATTTAATGATTACTTTTATAGTTATTTTATATATTTCAAATTTATTTGTCAATTTAATGTGCAGTCCACTTGGCGCTACAAATGCTTCGAGACATTTGATTGACCAATCAGAAGAATGAAATTTATTAAATAATCAATCAAAGAATGCTTCAAAACATTTGTAATATCAAATAGACCGTACTCATATGTGATTGATTATGGCTGCGTTTATATTCACTGCTGGTGCTGAAGCTAGTATTGGGCTCCTATTCTTGAAAAGAAACGTATACATAAAACTAAGGAAATATTATAAGAAACTACTACTGAATATTACTAAATATTACGTAATACTACTAAAAATTCTCCAATTTATGAAGAATTTGGCGATTAAGACGATTTTTTTCATTTTAACGAGCAAACACAAAATCGAATCTTTACAAAAGAATTACATCATTAATTTTTTGAAGTCCAATAGTTCCAATGTTGAGATGTTAAATGATTGTGACAGAATAAAAAAATTATTTAATAGTATCGATGTTACTCGTTCTGCTGAAAATTCTGATAAAAAAAATAACTGAAAAGTAACTTTAGAAAGTTACGTTTTCAGTAACTGTAACTGATTGTGAGTTATTTTTCAGAGTCAAGAACTTGTAATGATAACTAATTACTTTTGAGAAAAAAAACTAATTGTAATTAATTACTTTTACAAAATAATTTTTCCTGTTACAAACTGCTTTTTTCTTTTCTTTCATCATTTTCATTAAATTTATTGAAAATTAATTGAGCTTCACATAAAACCGGTCAATTTATACTTTGATTTATAAGTTGAAAAGATTTTGAAAATTGTGTAAATAAAAGGAATATGAGGAATAAAAGGGGAAAGTAGTTGATATTAATATGAGTCTCCTAAAGAGATATCCTCTTATTTCTCGAAAACTGAATATTGTACTTTATTAATACTGATAAAAACATGATTTATTAAAAAGTAAAAATAGCGAAAAAAAGGTTTACAAAAAAGTATAAAAAAACTACATAGACTGGGACAAGAGATCTTAGAAATTCTTAGTTTTCTGTAAATATTCGTAGAGGCTGTTTATTTGAAAAACCAAGAAATCTTCAATAACGCCACTCTACTACGAATATCTATGAAAAACTAATAATTTCTAAGAGCTTGTCTCAATTTATGTAGTTTCTCAAAAAAATTTTCCGCCAGAATCATAATGTTGTATATATATTTGCATTTTGCAAAACAGTATAGATACAAAGTATGCTTATAAATCAATAAAATTCTTATATCGAAGTAAAAAGATTCTAAAAAATTTTGTAGAAAAACTTGTATTTTGTACAGATAATTCCTACGAAAAAAAGGAATATGTGGCATTACTATTAAGTCAGTTTTAGAGCCCGTTTTATCAAACGCTTATTTTTTACACTTTATAAAAATTTAATTATTGCAAAGTTGCAAACTGTATCATAAAAATTGCTATTATCTGACAGATAGTATTTTCTAGTTTGTATTTATATTTCTAAAGTTTTATTTTTAGCTCTGTTTAAGAAATATTATTCAAAAATAAAATGTGTTAGTATCGGTGACCTTCCTCTAATGTTGTAACATCTTTCAGAAGCAATAACAAATGAGTCAACTTTAAATTTGTGAACGAAAATAGTTGTACGTCAAAACGTGAAATAAATAAAAATAAATCTTATGATATATGTTTTTTTCGATTCGAAGATACTCAAAGAGTAATAAGAAATAGCAAATAGAACAGGCCTGTCCAAAGTTTTATTCAGACATCTTCCTCCCATTATTGTTTCGTAATAAAAGAGACATAAAAAGACAATATTTTGAAGCTAAAATTGATCTTAGTAAATTTCAGTCAATTTTTATCATCACGTAGGATATGTGCGCTACATCAGATTCAGCTATAATATTATAATAGTTTCTTCTTACTGTTACGCATAAGGGCAAGCCCTTCCGTTGGACAGGCCTGAAAAATATTTTACATTAACCTTATCTATTTCATTTTATTACAAATCAAACTTAACTTATATTAGCTTCTCAAATTTTGAGAAAAAAATATCTCAATAAGGCGCATGCTTTTATTCTTCGGAATTTTCCTATAAACTATAAAGGATAAATTAACATTTTAAATTTCTAATTGTAATCTAAATAATATCTAATGTTATTTGAAAATTTATTTGATAATAAAGTCACATATTTTTACGAAATAAGAGAAACTTAAATAAATCTAAGATAAATCGGTCACATTAACATATAATTCACGCATTATCCTTATCTATTTATCTAAGGCGCATGAGCATGACGCACTTTATGTAATTGCGCGGAGACAATGATTTTTTTTCAACTTTTATCATCGTTAACAGATGAGTGTGACAGAGAGAGTGTCAACGAAGGTTTGGTAAATGTCATTTTACAGTATTTCTTTTCGTGTCTTTTGAGACTGTCGATCCTCGAGAAATGCTTTCCGCATTCCTCGCAGACGAGCGGGGTGATAACCTTCTCTCTCACTTGCTTTTTCTTACGGTCCGAAGACAGTTGATTGGGAATAGTCACGAACTCGAAGCAGCCTCCTTCTTTGAGCTCCTGCTTTACGAACGGTTCAACTAACCAATCGGACAGTTCATCATCGCTGTCTATAAAAAAAAAGAAAAAAGAAACATTCGTTAACTTTACGTTTTGATCAGCTGAAAATTTGTGAAGACGAGAAAGAAATTATGAGAGAAGAGCTTTATAAGCGCATGCATTCAGATAGAGTGGTCGCGTGCGGATATGTTATCGATGAATTCAAAAAGTACAACCACTCCATAATGAATCTCGAATAATTAATAAATGTGAAGTCACATAAGTGCAACGTTTGTGAGAGATAAACAGGAAAATAATAGTATCGTGGCATAGTGTTCAAACATTACTTTTTTCAGTAATATTATTTTATTAATAGACTCGAAAGATAGACAATAATACAATAAATACTCGCTTTATTAATACTTTATATTTTTATGACGGCAGTTGATAATATATAATAATGCTTTTCTTACAATATAAATACAATAATATGTGATAATGTAATAATATGAAACAGATTATAACAAAAAAATTAGCAAAATAAATTATAATAGAATAACTTCTTTATCAATATCATCAGTATCTCTTTATCGGAACATATTTTGTAATCAGAACGCAAATTTCTCCATTTCGAAATGGAGTGGTAAAAGATACATGTTATACAATTCATCATATTATACAATTCATTACATAATTCATACGATTAGTATAATCGCAAAAAATACAATAAATTCCAGAATAATAGGATGAGAGAAAATAAAAAAAACCTAATGTCTACGTTTCTATTCAATAAAAAAATACTTGTCACGCGAGGATTATACTTTGAGTTCATACGATCGGTTAATTCAATCAGCATATCAATTTATTAATATTGTATGACACAATATCATACAATTATCAGATAAAAGGCAAATATGAAAGAGAGAGAGAGAGAGAGAGAGAGAGAGAGAGATATGAAGATCGCAAACTTATAATATTATAATATAAACAGTAAATAATATACAAATATATATTATAATATAAATAATATATATTGCAGTATATATTATATAATTATACATATTATACGAAATCTGCCAAAAGTATTCGATCCCTGCCTATATCATGAGAAAAAGCTACTCTGGAGTAATATGACAGTCTCCTTCAAAGTAATCTTTTTTCGAAGCTGAAAATTCGAATGACCTTCCAGTGATCCATCCACTTCTGGAAGCAGTCCTGAAAATTTTTGTGATAGCCAATAACTCAGCCGTTGGATGGTACTTACAAGGGAACCACACGAAGTGTTAAATTCTGATTTTCATGAAACTTTATATACATATATGTTACGTAAAAAGATGAATTTAGGAAATATTAATTATGGTGTAAAAACGATTTAAAGTGGTGAAATTACCCTTTATATATAGGTAACGCGGATTTTAGCTTTTTTCGCTTCTTAAAAACTATTCGAGATATAAAAAATGTTTTATACAAAACTTTTACAATAAAATTACCTCTGTTCATCCACATCAATATTTTTGAAAAATAAAAAAAATTTTTTTTAATTAAAAAAAATGTTTATTAAAAATATTATTAATGTAAATGAATAAAGGTGTTGTTGTAAAATTTTTGTATAAAACATTTTTTGATATTTTAAATAGTTTTTGAAATATAACGAAAAAAATTCTGAAAATCGCTTTACTACATAATGGATGATTTTATGTTTATATTTTTAAACTGTTTTATACTGTTTTAAACTGTTGTATACAAAGTTTCATTAAAATCAGAATTTATCAGTTATCACACACTTCGTGTGGTTCCTTTATTAATAGGAGGTACTCCTCGAGATCTCCCCTAATTACCGAAAAGAGAAAGAGAAAGAGGAAGAGAGGGAGGGGAGAGAGAGAAAGAGAATGAGTTAATGAGTTAGTAAGTGAATGAGTGAGTGGATAAGTGAATGAGTGGATGCTCAGGGACAAAGATATTCGCAGAGATCAGACAGATCTCGTAAATAATATATAATTATATATAAATTATATAACGTGTATAATATGAAAATTATAATGTAAATATAATTACAATTACAATAATCACAATTATAATTACAATTCTAAATAATCACAGGCAATATATGAAGAACCTAACATGTATTTTATTTAACAAAAGAATATCTTCTATTGTAGATAAATTGTTTACGTTTTGTGATGTTTTAATTTCATATGTTTGGTTAATTCATATCGACGATAGAACATTTTCAAACAAATTTCACAATGCCACTTAGGTAGCTTGCCGCACTCCAGTCTTTGATGTCGGCGCAGATTGTCCATCCATTTATATACTTTGCCGCATTCACCGCAAAAATATTGCTTCGGTAGCGGCTCTATTTGGCCACAATTTACGAAATGTCGGGACGTATTCAGGTGGTTAGCATTCAGTTCAAATTTGTTCATCAGGACACCATCTGGAATACGAAAAAGATTTTGTTATTTTCGTGAAATTGATGACGTTAATAACAATTTAATAGAGATCAGAGTAAATATTGAATTCAATTGATAAGAGGTTCAACAGACGAATCGATCAATACTCAATCCACACTGCAATGAATATATTAATTTTTGCAGTATAAAAAATTTAATCATATAATGATTTATTTGTTCTCTTTTTTTTATTAGAAAAATCATTTTTTAAAAATCACGTATCCTTACAACTCTTGAATTTTGTATTAAAGTTTTACTAATAATTGTCATTTTTAGGGAGATTAATATGGATTACATTCTTTTGTCGATTGAGATATATTAAATCAAATGAAAAAGAGAAGAAGACACCGTTGTACATCATAAAAGTCTATGCTATATATTTACATAATCACACAGATAGTTGGAAATAATACATATAATTAATAACAGTTTGTTTTATTAAGATAGTAAACTTTAAGATAAATATAATATTTCGTTTTTGTATTTGCGATAGAGTCGATAGCAAAAAGAAAATATAATAAATTATAGGGTCGATAAGATATAATGTGTTTTTTTTAAATAAAACATTGTTTTTTTTAAACATGTTTTTAATGCTACACTCAAAAAAAAATTTTAATTTCAAAAAAATATTTCTTTGCTCGTATTAAAAAAAATTATTTAGAAATTAAGATATTGTAAACAATTTTATTGATCCAAAGAAATAATTTTTTTAAATACGAACAAAGAAATATTTCTTTGAAATTAAGATTTTTTTTTTCAGTGTACATACATACAGTATTACAAAAAATATATAAAATATGTTAAAAACATCGATTAAGCACGTTTTAAACAGTTTAAAATATGTTTAAAACATAATTTTTATCAACCCTGATAAATTGCTTATCAATGTATTCTAACATAAAAAATACACGTAATAATTTTAAATGTATTCAAATCTATAGCATTTGTCGGAAATATTATAGAGTCGTATAGTTTCTCGTTTTTAAAGAATCATCCGCATTTTTGAAATCGTAACGAAATATGCTTCATACCTTAAGTTTTGCCGACATAAAATTGATGCGAGTGGAAAAGCTGTAAATCGACAAAATCATTTCATGAGATTGTTGACCGTAAACATAGTGCTTTTAAATAAAAAAAAAGACAAGATGTAGGTTTAGAATTTGAATAAACAAATTCTTTTATTAAGTTATACAATAAATGAGTATATAAAGCTATAAATAAATTTAATGGAGTATTAAAACATATAGCAAAGAAATAATTATATACACAAAAACCATTAAACGATGTATGTGGAATTAAAAAATATCTAAATTAGTCAAATCTTTAAATGTGTTATTAAATATATTGCTACGATAAATAAATTAGAATTAATCATAAAACATTCAAAATATTAAAAATTGTGTAAAGAATATTTGCATGAAACGATAATTTTCAATTTTAAATGATAACAATATATTATCTATATATTTTCAACAAAGATATTATATTGTATGTTGAAAATGATAAGATAAATATATAATCATTAAATAATTAATCCTATTTCAGAAATAAAGATTAAACAAATTTCACATATTTTAAAAACTATTTATTATCATTCAATTAATTAAAACAAATAATTATCCTATATTTATAGATTATGATACAAAAAACATATAAAATAAAACTTCTGAATTGTAGATAGTGTTGTCTATTACCAAAATAAAACTTATAAAAATAAATTAGATTAAATGCGAACTCAACGCAAAACAGATACACAATGATAATGCAATTTAAAAGATGTATTATTATTATTTTATTAATAGTTTTTCGATTAAAATTTATATGTTAAACATATAAAAATGTTATACTCGTGAATCACGAAAAATGATCATGATGAATTAAAACATAAATGAGTATATATTTTAACAATTTTATATTCTCAATGTATATGACATTTACATACAGGTTATGCGTTAATGCACTAAGTAATTATAGAATTTTGTTGTATAATAAAAAATAGGAAGTATATATTTGCAGTATTGATTCATTCGCGGAGTAAAAAGCATAGACGATAATATCGTCTGTGTCAAAATAACAATATTCGTTTGGCTTGGATTAACAGTTGACTATATTGTACATATCATATATATGACTATTTTTATGACTAAACTGCACAAGTAATAAAAGATTAAATACATTATGGCTACGATAAATATATTATGATTTCATCATAAATATACATCAAAATGCCTACGTAGACATAACAAACGTCTCGCGAAAGGATTATTCATTCATTTCATGAATTCACTCGTGTAAATCCATATATTCATTCTTAATTATAATAGCTATTAATGGAAAAGTGATAAAGACTTTTTATTAGAATAAAGAAAAAAATATTTTCGTAGAAGTAAATATATGAAGCGTTTATGAAAATTTAGAAAGCATCTCTTTTTGTATGTCCAGCAATTTCGATTTGATTTTTGGAATCTAAAATTATATTTTTTTAAATTATTATTTTATTTCCTTAAAATTATTATTCTATTCTCCTAAGTTGAAATAATATTTGTCAGCCAGTTATCTTGGGATATATGTTCATCTTATGTCATTAATACACAAATAAGTATTCTATTTTATGCGAAATTGCTTGCATTGTTAATTTCAAATATTTTAAATATCGTGTCGATTAAAACATTTCAATCGGTTCCATTAGTTGCTCTATACAAGTTGATCATGATCTTCACTTATAATAATCGCTTTCGTTCTTCCTTATCGCTGATTAATCGCGGCCTCTAATCGAAATCCTTCTTCTGTATCGTTTGATTCATTCTTCTCTCGCAACCAACGATGTGAGCGTTTAGGACGAACCTGTGCTTGAATCTGCGGCCGCAGATAGGACATACCTCGCAAGGCACGACACCGCACTCAAGTCGTTTGTGTCGGCTCAAGGATGTCGTGGCCTTGTATGTTTTTCCGCATCTGCTGCATTCATATTTGGCATCGCCTATGCTCTTCTTTCGCATACCTCTAGACATCTTGTATGATGATCCACTCGCTCGACGTTGAGTCCACTCATTATTGTCCTGCGACATCAGCATCTGTGCCAACAGACCTGCAACGAAAAGATAATGTGGTTAGACAATTTATTGCGATTTATTCAACGCTATGTTGTAATCGCAATGCTCTCCCAAACCGGAAATAGAAATCAACGAAATGACTTTATAGCTAAAAATGTGGATAGACTGATCTAATTACAATTTCTTTCATCTTTAATGGATTTCTGGTGAAATTAAAGATACAAGGATTATATGTAATGTCGATCATCAACTTCTCTCTGCAGCTTAATTAAAAATGGTTTTAAAAATCGCGTAATCCGAGAGAACACAATTTGTGGAGAAAACACATAATTAAGGGAATTTTTTTGTCATTAAAAAGACAAAATTAGTAAAAGATAAAAAAATTAGAATAAATATCTTTCGAAATAGGAAAAATGGAATAAAATTTATAAAATATCAGGAATTAAAAATTACATACTACTATTTAATTAATTATGAGCGTTTAATGAGTAATTAATGTGTCAAGAAACCTTTTATCATTTTATCCATTGCCAGTGTCTGGTAAGCATTGCAGTGATGCAGTGATTAAATTCGTGCAGTTAAGATTTTCACTTTCGACCGGAAAATTAAAAAAGTTTTGATCAGAGTATTGCTAAACTTTAATTTATAAGCTGTAAAGATACAAGATTGAGAAAAGTGCAATGATGCAAAAGAGATCAATTATGAAAAAAAAGCAGAAAATAAAACAAGACGAAGAGATAAAAAAAGAAGTAACGCATGCTGTTGCGGATTTTTATGCAAAGTAGAAATCGTCATTTGTTACTAAAATTTTTAGATATATTTAAAAGTAGGTGTCAAGGATAGAAATAATTATATAAATGAATTAACATATAAAATTTTATTACAACGATAAAACTTTAGTTAACTTATTGATACAAATGTATATTTAGCTTGGTATTGTAAATTCTGTTTTTATTTTTGTACAATAAGAAATGAAAATGTCAGTATATTTGTTCCTTGGATAGTTTATTGCACTATTTAAAAACATTGTATATTTATTACTTATACGTTTATATAAAGATGTTATGTATAGTGGAACTAGAAACGCTTTTTCCCCTCTTGAAATCTTAAGAATAATTGTATACACTAATTTAAACAAAGAATCCTAATGATCATTTTTTATATCTTAATTAAATAAATCTAGTAGACTTTATTTGATATAAATGTATAAAAAATAAATAAAAATTTGAAATTATCTAAAGAAGTATACAATACCGACTTATCATACGCAATAAACAAGACTTATTGTGTAATCATTCTGAAAATCTCTAGTCTTAGATAAAATAAGATATTTGTGAATCAGATACATTGTGTCCTAATACATAACCACACATATAGGCTCATAGTTGCTTTCCATATAATAATGAAAAATGATACTATTTAATAATACAAATGAAAAGTCTTTAAATAAATTACAAGTTTAAAATTCTTTCAAAAATATATAATTATGTATTTATCAGTATATACGCAACACATATACTTCATATTTTATTGCATCAATTTGATGTTGCACACAGCGAGAGAAAACTCCTTTGCAATTCTCTTATCGTTAATAATACAATTTCGAAAAATCCGACTTCGAAAAACACTAGTTTTAAAATAAATCCTTTCAATTGTCATAATTTAATGACATGAGATTAATTTGAATTTCGTTAGATTACGCAATCTTTGACAACATAGGATAATTGCCGAAATCGCATAACCATATTTAAAAATTCAATTATTGTACTTACATACTTTATTATAATTTATTTAAGAACTACATGATATTGCAACGCTGCTGCATTACACTCAGACATAAAGCACAATAAGAGTGTTCTTATTTACGTAATTAAAAAAAGTCGTCATAGTGTTGTTATTTTTCAACATATTTTATAGCAGATCGATCAATTATAGAAAATATAAGTTATAGTCTAAGTCTTGATCATTTATATGTTAGAATATTTAAATTAAATTAATAGAGTTAAAGTTCACATTTTTATTTATGGGTTAAATAAATAAAAGTTTATAAAATGCTCTAGTTTCCTAAATTGCATCATAATGTAGTGTCTTAAATCGCACCATAATCGCACACCACAATCGTTGCCTAATATTTTTACATTTCGCGTACATTTTTATTTCATTTATTATTATTTAAAAATATATGTTGTAAACCTACGAAGTGTTTATTTTGTTTCACATAGAAACTCTTTAAATTATTTCCTGAATTAGAAATCAAACTAAGAGATTCCTTATAAATCAAAGAATTGGAAAGGATTCGGGCAGTAGGAGTCAAGCGCAGAAGACGTCGCGCAAATAATATATCTATGAAGTATGAAACTTCTTTATTCACTAAAACGCGCTTACATGTTTCGGCTCACTTTTGAGCCGTCCTCAGAGATAACACAAACTAACATACATAAATTGTGAATAAAAATTATCTTGTCATGGTGAGCTCCCCTGTGATCAGGGTGAGCGTCCTTATTTTCGGGATAATTAATTATAATCTTAAGGTTTTTGATAAATGAGTTTTTTATATTACCTATTTCGATATTTCCTTTTTTTCGTTCATTTTTCTTTTTTCTTTTTCTTTCACTCTTTTTAGGTTTAATTCTGGCATTTGAATTCTCGAGGTAGAGGTGCTCACCATGATAGGATAATTTTTATTCACAGTATGTTAATTTTTGTTGTCTCTGAGGAGGGCTCAAAAGTGAGCCGAAACATGTAAGCGCGTTTTAGTAAATAAAGAAGTTTCACACTTCATAGATATATTATTTGCGCGACGTCTTCTGCGCTTGACTCCTATTGCCCGTATCCTTTCCAGTTCTTTTATTTCCTGAAATTATCACGTTGTTTCAGAAATTATTAAAAATATATTCTTAAATTTTTGACAGCAAACACATAAGAAATACAATTTTTTCTTTTTCTTATGTAATGAAATTTTTTTGCATCATTATAATATTTTAAATAAAAAATATTAATACGTGGTGCGATTTGGACAACGGATTTCCTCGTTGCCAAAATCGTACCATACTGAAAAAATCGTAATTTAAAACATTATAATAATGCAAGTAAGTTATGAAAAAAATACATAAGAAAGGGAAAAGAGTGTAATTTATTATACTGCAAAAAACGAATATTCTTTATAATTTCTGAGTTGTAAGCCTCTATGTGAAAAACGATTTCGGCAATTTCCTTATCCTATATCAAGGATTCATTGAAATCGATGAAGTCATCACTAATTACAATTTTACCATATCCCATTCCAAGCTGTTTTTTTCTTGCAGGACGCTAAATGATGAGTTAATACAAATTTATGCGTAAATTGTTTGCCACATATTATGCATTTGTACTTGGGATGGACACCACACTCTAATCTCTGATGTCTTCGCAAGGATGTTTCCAATTGATAACTCTTGGTGCATCTTGTGCATTTGTAGATTACTGGCTTCTTCGCGTATTTCAGCTTTTGTATGTTCTTCACGATCAGTTTCGGGACTGAAAAGTAAAACAGAAAAACGTAGGAGCTAGATTAAATCATTGGTAGCAATTTAAAATAAGAAGCATTGTGATTATTTTATTACAGGATGTCACACCAAGATCAGAAAAGTAAAAACGAGCTTAAACTTTTTAATTGCAGAAGTTTTATTAAGATGAAAATTTATTTGCTCGAAATATAGGAAATGTCTCCTTTTGTCTACAAATCGATTGTCTATAGTATTGTTTGTTCTATACATTTGCCGACAGTTCGTTTGCGCATAAAAATTATTGCCTACAGTTCGATTGTCTACAAGCACTTTTGCGCACAAATAAAAATTTCAGAAATGAAGTCACATTTGCTTACATAGATTATTGTTTACAATAAGCTATGCTCTTTTGCGCATAAATAAAATTTATATTTTTAAAACAAAGAATTTATGTTTTAAAACAGAATTTGTATTTTTAAAGAAGGGAATTTGTGTTTTAAAACAGAATTTGTTTTTAAAACAAGGAATAATGCTTGTAGGCAACCGATCTGTAAGCAATAATACATGTAGGCAAATATGATTTCATTTTTGAAATTTTTATTTGTATTCAAAAGTGCATGTAGGCAATCGAGCTGTAGGCAAATAAGATGTAGACAAACGGTACTATAGGCAATCGCTTTGATGGCAAACGAGATCCTTCCGAAATATAATTAAAGATACAGATGTGATTGATTTTAATTATATTTAAATACATTGTAATATCAATCGATATCCACGTGTAAATACATTAGTAAAATATAACTTGCCTGATTTTATACAGATTAAATGTCAGGTGTCTTTTTTAAATTGGTACATGTAAAATGCTCTTATATTTTAAATGACTTTGATAAAATGC